CAATGGTAATTATAACGAATGACATTTCGATTAAATGAAATTTATAACTCATTACATTTATATCAATTGATATTTAGGTTAAAAAACATTTCGAATAAAAAATAAAAAACAAATTTTAATTAATGATTTTAAAAAATAGGAATTATAACAGACAAAATATCGGAAAATCGAAAATTAGTCCAAACAATTAATTGGACAAATGAAAATAATGTCAAATGTTTCTTCGGGCTAACGAAATCTCTATTAAATAATATATGTGCAAAATAAAAATTAGAGCTAATGAATCATCGGGAAAATGAAAATTAGATTAAATAATAATTCTAATAAATATAGCTTATGGCAACTGGTGATTCGGCGAAGTGAATTTCGGTTACTTGTTATTATGTCAAATGGAATTTGTGGAAGATTGATGCGTCCCGAGTTTTCTGGTCAAAGACCAAATCCGTCCGGTTTAGCCCCGGTCTCCCCTATACAAGTTATTTTAAAGATTTTTTTTTACTTATTTTCTCTTAATTAAAGCTTTTTAAAATCAGACTTTTTATTAAATTTTTTTTTTAATTATTGATATTTTTTTTATCTTTCTTCGTAATCTGTAATTATTTAAAATTTATCATTATAAATTTGTGTTTCTATAAAATTATAATTTTTATAAATTAAAATAAACTAGAAAAATTTACTCTAAAAACAAGAATTTTTAAAAGCAAATTGTAAGTATTATGTTGGGGGAAAATTTAAATAATTTTTATACAAAAATTAACACTGAAATAGTAAATTGTGCTATTAAAAATAGTTATTTCCAAAGTAAATTCTATAATATCCCTAGTAAATTTCATTAAAAATCAATAAAATATACTTTTGAATTCAGTAAAATTTATTCTGAAAACAGTACAGTTGAATAGAAATTGTATACATTTTAGTTTTTAAATAAAAACTTGGTTTATAATTTTCAAATTCAAGAAAATTATGTTTTTACAAAGTTTGCAAAAAATTTTTTCTGTTAATCATAACTAAACATTTTTTTAACTTACAACAAATGACAATTTTCATAAGTTCTTCTTTAAAAAAAAGTGTAATTTTGTAGAAAATATGTTTTTGTATTTACAAAAAAATTACCCCTACAATTTTTGAACCATTTTTTTGAAAAATACAATTGTTCAATTTTTTTATATGAAAATTCACTTGTTTATTATTTTAATTATTAATTTCAAATCATAATTTTTAAAATAAAAAATATAAAATATAAAAAAATTATGATAAAATTATGATTTTGAAATTTGTTAGGAAAATAAACAAGTAAATTTTCATTTAAAAAATTGTATAATAGAATGTTATTTTTAAAAATAATGTTCTTTTAATAAGAAAATCCTTCAAAAATTGCAAAAATCAATTTTATCATTCGGCATTTGTATATACAAAAACATATTTTCTACAAAATCACGGATAGATTTTAAAATCTATTAATTTTTTAAAAAAGTAAAAATCCAAAAAAGGTCAGAATATTTTCTGATTTCCTCACAAAAAATTACTATAAAAATGATTTTATCGCAAATTTAAATTATTTTCTTGATATGGGTGATTCTCCACAAAGTGGTAACTTTTGAATATGTTTAATTTTTTTTTTTTTAATTAATTTTTTTGAAAATTTTTTATGTAGGGGAGACTGGGGTGGAAGGATAAACTGTGAAAACAGTTCAAATTCATTATCTTTCGAACGGAAATAGTTAAAGCATTGCAATTTTATTTATAGAATGGTGTTATCACCCTAAATAAATGTCCGGAGTTATGTGACATTCTGTTCATTTTTATGGTGTCCATATTTAAATTTTTTTTCACCCTACTTTTGAAAATTTTTTCGTCAAAGAAAATATCAACTTTTAAGTATATTCTTAAATAAAATTTTATTATTTATGAAAATAATTGAATATTTTAGAAGAATTAAATCAAAAATTGTTTTCAATAATTAAATTATTTGATACATTCTATGAAAATAGTAAATACCTATTTAAAATCATTGAATTGCGATAAACTTTTGAAAATAATTGAAATTTTGCAAAGAATTTTATTTAAATTTTTGACAATAATTTAATTCTTGAGAAGACTGATGCTATCTATTTATAAAAATAATTTAATTCTTGACAAGAATTTAAAAAAAATTTTGAAAATAATTTAATTTCTGCAAAGTATTTTTATTACCTACTTTTCAAAAGAATTGAACTCTTGTGTTGAATTTTGAAATTTATCCAAATAGGTAGTTGAATTTTGGAAAAGAATTTTATTAAAATTCCTTAAAATAAATGATTTTTTGCGATGAATTAAAAATTATTTATGACAATATTTGAATTATTATACGAATTTAATTATTTTATTCAATAAAATTGAATGGTTCTTAAAATTGAATTCTTACGTCAAGTTTTAATAAAATTTTCAATCCAAATCAAAATAATAGAAATTTTGCAAAGAGTTTTATTTAAATTTTTAAAAGTAATTGAATTTTTGGCGTAAAATTTTGCTATTTGTAAAGATAATTGAATTCTTGACGAGATATTTGTTAAAATTTTTAAAAATAATTGAATTTTTTTGAAGAATTTTGTTATGTATCAAGATAATTGCGTTAACACTTTTGAATTAATTAAATAATATTAAAAAATTCATTCTTGTCAGAATTAGAAAAAATTAGAATTCGTATAGGGTAAGTGCGGGTATAGTCGGACAGTACTAGTAGTCGGACACTTTCGTGTTTTTTGGCAAATAAATAATAATGCATTGTGATAATTACTTTAAAAAGTATACTAGACGAATGTGTGAAGTTTATATTTTATTAAAATAGTGTTATTTTCGAAAATAATTAAACAAGAAATATTTTATTTAATGTTTTAAAAATCATGGTGTCCGACTATAGATACAACCATTTTCGAGTAGCGCGATGAGTGGCACAAAGTTTTGTTGATAATTAATCATAAATATTAAAACGTATAGGGTCTAAATATTATATTAATAACTTCTAATATGCTTTAATTCCATTTTCCAGCAGATAGCAATTAAAAAATTATCTTTTTCACTTTATAAATTCAAAATATCTGACAGATGTCCGACTATAGAAACAAGGGGAAAAAGTGTCCGACTACTAAAGCATTCGTAATTTTTTATTAAAATGTTTATATTTTATTAAATACTGAACTATTTGTAACAAATTTATATTATTTTTAATCCTGAAGAACTCCTTTAATTAATAATGTGCTTATAAACACAGTAGATATTTGCTATTTCAAGAAATAAAACATAATTTAAGATTGTATCCTTAAGTGTCCGACTACTAGTGCATTTACCCTAGTAATTTCATAATAGTTTCTAAGGCAAACAAAAAGACACAAAAATTCCGAATTTTCTTATGTATTCTAAAAATGTAATTTTTTCTAGTACTTTTAATAAAAATCCCTGATTTCCCTGACCTGTGGCAACCCTGATGAAGTCTAAGGAACGAAATTAAAATATCAATTACCTTTCCTAAAATATGCACATGTAAAGTGGAGAATGTGAGAAAAAGTTTTATTTTAGCAATTAGAAAATATGTAAAAATGCAAAAAGAATTATTGATTCTTGTTTAAAATTAGTTGATTAATTATCTTTTAATAATTAAACTATTAAAAAAATTAAAACAGTAGATAAAATACGGGTTTTAAGTTGGTTTGTCAAATAACCTCATTTTTATGTTTTTATCAATTAATTACATTACAAAGAAGTGGAATTCTTGAATTCAATAAAATCTCACCGAATATAAAAAATTTTTGTTCAACTTTCAGGTTTTCTTAGTATTTTCCTATAATTTTTTCCTTAAATACAAGAAATAGTGAGTTGAAAGTACGCTATTTTTGAATTGTTGCGTACTTTGCAACTTAATATCACCTTATCACTTTCACAACTTCTAAATCACATTAAAATTTTCGTTTTTGTCTCTATATTTGGTGAGGTTTTATTTAATGATTGCACCTATTTTGAAATTAATTGATAAAAACAAGTAGCAAGTAGGTAAGAAAATTTGCTAACTTGCTGCCACTCTGCACAGAGATTCACTGGAAAAATTGCATCAACTTGGGCATGACCTTAAGATCCATTCGACATTCAAGTCAGGTCAAAGTTGTTTACAAGTGAAAAAATTATTAGCAACAATATACTATTTTTATAATTATCAAATGATTGTAGAATATTCAAGTATACTTTCTAATTAGTTTTTCTTTAAAAGGATATAGTTAATTAATAGAGAATAAATAAAATATTTATTGAGATTATATTTTTGTGTTCAACTACACCCGGTTTACCCAATTCCGGGTTCAGTAAAACGGCAACGGCATTTTTTAATTAATTTTCATGAATAAATAATAGTCCACGTACATAGAGTGAAATGCATAATTGCTGTGACATCAGTTTAGTGAGGGTTTACAAATCATTAAAGCATTTCACTGTACGTACATACCTCATAAATAATCAGCAATCTTTCTTTCTTTCTTTCTTTCTATATCGCAAATTAGCCTCTAAAACATTTATTTATGTTATGACAGTATCTCTCTTCTATACAATGTAGAAGTCAGCACTGAGTGTATCTGTATGTATAATATAAATATTAAGGGAGCTGTCACATCTCAACTGACTCTGTAGGCAGGTTGCCATAGTAACGTACACGAGTGAGAGGAGAGCCAGTGGCTATGAAATTTTAAGGCCTTTCTCCAATAAGGATCTAAAGTGCATGCGTTACGAATGCGTTGTTGCGGCGTTGAGTGGAACCGTAGCGTTTAATCGAATGCAAAATTTTATGAGTTAAAGAGAGATAATCGATATCACTATCCTTTTCCTATTTTGAATCATAAATGCATTTACCAGCTATTGTAAAAACACCTTTAAAACCATAAAGACATAAAGAACCCATTGTGAACGAACTTGGCCAAATATTGTTTATAGGGTGCCGTTGGAGACGCACCTTTAGCGATAATCAGAAATCATATGAGTGAAAGAGATAGTAAAGTTTATTCGTGTCTGTCGTTTCTGTTTAGATAATTCAGTTATCCTAATGATGTTCAAAACCAAAACATTTAATCATGAAAACATCGATGTATGCTCTGGTTAGAAATACAAAGTGTTTATGATGTACCTCTTAAATTTCAGGAGTTTTTACTAAATATCCTGTATATAATCGGGATTTTACATTACTACAGACATTGAAGATGGATTTTTTACAAGTTTAGGAAAATAAGACCATTTTAAAAATACGCTGTAAGAGGTTAAAGTAAAAGTTTTCCACAAGCAAATTTCCAACTCCTGCAAGATGTGTAAATAACAAAGCTTATTACAATCATCGTGTAATTTGTCATGATGCACGACATTCACAACTTTGCAGAATATCTTAGGGATGGTTTATAGATATCCTTCTTTGCTCTTCACAGTTTTAAGGTAAGAGGAAATTTTTTCTTTTTCTGTTAACCTTTTGCTCAACATATTTTTCAATTACTTTACGTAAGGTTGTAAATTTCAATATTAAATTGATTGATTGATTGATTTGTAAAATTACACAATTAAAAACAACGTAATTACTAATCAAATCTATAAGTCTACAGAAATTCTTTTTACAGTACGAATTTGAATATTAAAATGAAGGACAAGTACTTTGATTTCTTAACACCACTGACATTTTGCCACTAATCTTTCTGTCAAATGTTTTCAGAGAGTTTTTAACGAGTTAAAATGATTAATACAAGCAGAACGAATGATTAAGAAAATTAATTGACTTGAAAGCTTTTATACATGAACTAGTACTCCAGATTTTCGGGTAAAACATGAAAATGTCATTTTAATTTTAATCACACGAAGTTGAAGTCCACAACGTTTGTCAACGAAATAAATTTATTTAATGTATTCAAGTATTATTTTTAATTTAATATTTAATTGCAAAATAATTATTATCAAAATATAAACATCAATCTTTTATTTCGAAATATTTTTGTGACAATATTGCAGCGTCATTTTTAATTAATTTACTAAGTTTAAAATTTTTTTTCGTTGATCAACGTTGTGGACTTCAACATGGTTTAATCACCCATACACTTAAAAAGATGAGTTGAAATTGCACACTTCAAATTATATGCAGAAAGTAGAATAAGCTCCAGTCATTTCAAATTTTATATTATATAATTAAATTTTTAAATTATTCTTAAATGAAAAAAATTTCACTAATTTTAAATTCACAAAAACAAACTTGGACAATTGTTTATTAATTTTAATGTTAACTTTTTATTAATTTTTTTTAAATGTAATTTAATTTTTGTAAAAATAAAATATGACGTTAAAAATGAATGAAAATTTCGAGGCGCATGAATATTCTTCAAATGTCATTTTAATACATCATTCAACCGAACGTCTTTATAGCGAAATAACATTTAACCGAATTTCTATTTTAACAAAAAATTGTCATTTTCACGAATCGTAATCTCACGAAATGGGGGCTTTTTGTTGTAAAAAAATTTATGTTTCAAATTAGCGGCACATTTTTTTTACCATAAATTATCATTCTTCGACCAAATAGAAGTATATTTTAATCGGTGTAATTCATATTTATTAATTGCTACTTTATTTAAACTATTGTTTTCATATTTATGGTTATGAGTGCAGGTAAAACGTATTTATCTTCAAGAATTTATAATATTTTACAACCCTTTAAAAACATTTTCTTTTATCTACCTGAACTTACATTTATCAAAAATCTAGGCGCGATATATAGTTGAAATATATTTTTTCCTAAAATGGCATTATAATTGACTAAGTAACATTATCATATCTCGTACAAAAATTATTCAATATCAACTCAAATATTATTTTTAGGGGTGAGCATTTTGCACACATATTTATTAACACTAAACCAAGATATTACACGAAGGTGAATACTTTTTTTTAAGTGTGATTTCTTGTGCTCGTCATAAAACCATTTTTTGACAACGAGTTACGCACTCATTGCGCGTTTTCGCAGAACGATTTCGTAGATGTTTTAAGTGGCACAATGTTCTACCACCCATAATTCTTTTTCTGAATACCTAAAAATATAAATAATATATAAGCGAATGTTAAATAATGATCGCTCAACAAGTATTATAAGAAAATTAATGATTTTCAAAAAAAGGTGAAAATGCAATTGAGCCATTATCGCTTAATGAAAATTCGATTTTATGCGAGTTGCGTCAAGAATTTCTCAATTTCTACAATTTTAATGAAGAAATCAGGTGCATACTTTTTTTAATTTTTACTAACAAGAATTTTTTTATATCTCATAGTCGCGATATAGTATTAGCAAATGTATAAAAACGTGTGTTAGCAATATGGAAGCTTTTTGTGGCACATATATTTCAGTACCCAATTTTTCTCCTTTTCGTAAGATTTCCCCATATTCGCTATAGTAGCAATTCGTAAAAATTAACTTTTTTTTAAAATAACGGTTCACCGAATTTGATAAACATCAAATTCGTAATCAGCTACCCCAAGAACCCCCGACTAACAAAATTTCCCTTCATATTTAACGCCATATTTGATCCGCTATCTTGAAACTATGAATTCTTATTTACGTTTCTTAAAAGTATACAATTTTTGTGCACCTATGGTTGTAAATTGAATATTATTCACACACGTTTTATGGCTAAAAAATTATCAAACTTGAAAAAATGAAATTTTTTTATGTTTTTTGCAATTAAAACCGCCATATTTAATTTTGGGTTGAACAAAATTTCTTTTTTACACCGTAATCAAAAAGAGCACACTCTTTGAAATTGCCTAAAGAATTTTCTTATTTCAGGCGTTAATGGGTTAAGAAAGCAGTAAATTTTTAATACTTCCCTGTGTTAATATTCTTTTTTGTATTTAATGCGCTCTTTAACATAGAATACAGAGACCAAAGTGTCGACGGTTTTTTTGTTTCTACAACCTTTGTGTAACTGACGTTTCGATTAACTTCTTCTTTGTGAATTTTACCCACAACGTTAGCATGTGTTTGTCGTTGAGCGACTCGAATCACCATAGTCTACCGAACATATCCATAATGTCAGTCATGTCTGGCAGTTGACAAACGTCCACCGAAATCCCATCACATCAAAGACATCGATGATGTTCGGCAGTGGACAACAATTCCAATGAAAGGAATTCTTGCAGTACAAGTCATTTTTAAATTTCTAAACAAAAATCTATTAACCAAGATAAGTGGTTAATAGATACATACATACACAATTAATTAAAAGAATTATAGAATAAGGTACAATAAAGTAATAGGTAAAATCGGTATTTGAGATTCAAATTAGTGTTAAAAGAAAGTAAAAATAAGTTCAGTCAATAATATTATAAACAATCATTTCTCGTTCTCAAATTGGCGTTGACCCGGGTGAAGCGTGATACTGATTGGAGTCAGAGAGAAGATCCTACCTGCGAGCCCCCTGAGCTCCACACTAAATAACAATTATAATAAAAATTGATATATTTAAAATATGTTTGAAAAATAACGAGACTTATAAAATTTCTAAACAATATGGAATATGGTGCGAGTACTTTCTTTTATGAAAAATTTTAACGAGCGAATGAGGCAGAGAATAGAGGAACAACCGATTTTATGAATTGCAAGCTGCATCCTCCCTTCCCCATCATCAGTCCACGATTTCCCAAATTACTCTTCGTTTTCCCCCGAATGTTATATATTCTCTTTATATTTCAAATGAATGTACAGTTAATAACAAATCCAAGAAAATATAAAGAAAAGCAATAGTTTAATAAATATAATGAAAATAAGAGATATATACGACGAATGCGAAAACAACCTTCTGTAGTTGTGTACGATTCGTGAATATCAGAGTAATGAGGTAATTTTATATAAAAAGGATAAGTAGTACATCGTCTAGTATCAAGTTGATTAACTGGCTAATACATTTGATAGGCTTTCTACCAACCGGGAAATAGCCGGGAATTAAATTTTACTGGGAAAAACTAATAATTAGTTACCATTAGCTATTTCTTTAGGAAAATATTACTATTTGAATCAGTGACAGATTTTTTTCTATCAAATTTGTTTTCAGGAACAGTATTTGTCAACTTGTAGTACTTTATACGTTTGTCTGCAATTAATGTATTGAAAATTATTCCTAAATTTACACCAGCTTTTGAAGTCAAAGTAGAGTCTAATTCGAAATAATTGTGTCGCAATTAAACCCTACGTTACGACTGCAAAAAACCTAAATAAAACCTATAATTATGTTTAAGCTGAAAAGTAGGGCCTAAATTTTGACTCGGGTCTGTATACATAAATATTACATCAATAAAAATTAATGTAAAAAGCAGTTTTTTAAAATAAATTAATAGAATAAAACTTTTTTAATTTGGTAAGAAAAGTCTCGGTTTTTCCTGGTCAAATTAAGTTCCCGGCTATTTCTCGGTTTACCCGCGCAATTGGTAGAAACAAGTTTAAAAACAATTCATTAAAAAATGTAAACTTTAAAAATTTGCAATTTTTAAAATTTTTTGAAAACATTTTTATACTTAAATCTTACTTATAGGACACTATTTTTTACAAAATTGTGCTAAAATGTGACTAAATAACATGTAATACTTAATTATAGATAGTTTAACCCTTTAACGCCCAGTGGTACATACGCTGTACCAAAAATGCATTAAAGTCATCATAATTTTGAAACTAATACATATTACTAAAAATGTTAAATTCTTAGCTCTAGTAAAACTCTTCCAGCAGATAATTAAAAAAAACAAAAGTAAAAAAATAATAATAAATAAATAAAATAATAATAAATAAAAAAAATGTCAAGATACATTTTCTCCTATGACGGACAAAAAAATTTTAAAAAATTAATCAGATTCGTTTAAAACTTGTTACTCGGGGGTTTTTGGGGTCGCTGATTACGAATATGAAGTCAAAATTGCAAAATTCAAAATGGCGGATCCAATATGGCGGACGAAAAAATAAAAAATAATGGGATTTATATGAAACTTGTCACTCGGGGGTTTTCGGGGTCGCTGATTACGAATATGAAGTTAAAATTGCAAAATTCAAAATGGCGGATCCAATATGGCGGACGAAAAAAATAAAAATTAATGGGATTTATATGAAACTTGTCACTCGGGGGTTCTTGGAGTCGCTGATTACGAATATGAAGTTAAAATTGCAAAATTCAAGATGACGGATACAATATGAAATTGAAATGAAATTGGTGGAAATAATTCGGGCTTTAAAGGGTTAAAAGCAATTCATTAAAAAAATGTAAAATTTGAAAATTTTTGGTTTTTGAATTTTTCGAAAAAATTGAATATTTCTCGTTCTAATTAATATTTTTCAAATCTGTAAATTTATAAACCTTCCTTGGCCCAAGGTCTAACATTCTGCCAAATTTGGTTTCAAACGCTTCAGCCGTTTCTAAGTGATGCGCGAACAAAGATTCTGTACCATACATACACACATACATACATACACGAAATTTTTTATTGGTATATTTGGAATCCTTGATGCTCAAAACGAATAATTATGTGCAAAATTTAGAATTCTGAGCAATGTACAGACAAAAGTCTGATTTTATATATATATGGTGGATATCACGTCAAAACTCCACCCAAAAAAAAATGTTGTACAATTATTCCCAAATTTTTTTTATGATATGCCCTATAGGTTAGTAATTTATCATATAAATTTTTTTGAATTTTATAAAAAATTGTCCAAGGGGGAGGGGGTAGAAGTTCTGAACTTTTGCGTGACGCGCTCCACTTTGATTATTTCTTATAATTAGAGGAAAAAATTTTAAAAAAAATTAGAATATGGGTTTTTTAGATTTTTTCATGGGCTTTCGAATGGCAAAGTCTATTTTCAAAAATTTTTTTATTTTGACATAAATTTTGAAAAAATAAAAATAAATTTTCACTTTTCGCATCTTTGGGTTCATTTTTTCTTTTTTCTTTTATTTTTAAATGAAAGCTGAGCTTTTTTCTGATGAAATACTTGTTTTCCAAAAAACCGTTTTTTTTTGTTTTCGAGAAATGAATTTTTGAATATAGCGCATCACGTCGTCGCGCCACAATTTAATTTATAAAACGTTACAATGAACTATTTTCTGCATTTTTTAGGGTTGAGACTGACATTAGAACAATATAATGCCTGCATTATAGTTTTTTTTTAATTTTTTTAAATTAAAAAAAATATTTATTTTTTTAAATTTTTAACAAAATTTTTTTGCAATTTTATTTTTAATTTAATGCCTGTATTTTATTTTTCTGTTCGCTTTGTTTTACTTTAGAAATGAAAATAAATAAATTGTAGGCATTAAATTAAAAATAAAAGTCTAAAAAAAATTTTTTTTAAATTTTGTTAAAAATTTAAAAAAATAAATATTTTTTTTAATTTAAAAAAATAAAAAAAAACTATAATGCAGGCATTATATTGTTCTAATGTCAGTCTCAACCCTGTAAAATGCAGAAAATAGTTCATTGTAACGTTTTATAAATTAAATTGCGGCGCGACGACGTGATGCGCTATATTCAAAAATTCATTTCTCGAAAACAAAAAAAAACGGTTTTTTGGAAAACAAGTATTTTTTAAGAAAAAAGCTCAGCTTTCATTTAAAAATAAAAGGAAAAAGAAAAAATGAACCCAAAGATGCGAAAAGTGAAAATTTATTTTTATTTTTTCAAAATTTATGTCAAAATAAAAAAATTTTTGAAAATAGACTTTGCCATTCGAAAGCCCATGAAAAAATCTAAAAAACCCATATTCTAATTTTTTTTTAAATTTTTTCCTCTAATTAAAAGAAATAATCAAAGTGGAGCGCGTCACGCAAAAGTTCAGAACTTCTACCCCCTCCCCCTTGGACAATTTTTTATAAAATTCAAAAAAATTTATATGATAAATTACTAACCTATAGGGCATATCATAAAAAAAAATTTGGGAATAATTGGACAACATTTTTTTTTTGGGTGGAGTTTTGACGTGATATCCACCATATAGATAGATGTATGTAAATTATGAAAATTTTAAATCTGTTGTAGGATTTGGTAGCTATGACTACTAGACTAAGCAGTAAATTACAAATTTTGTGGGAATTTTTTATTCATGCTGAACCAGGAAGTGACGAGGTATGAATAAATATAAATTATTTTTCATTATTAAACATAATCATTATTTAACTGTTGTTAGTGAGAATTTTAAATACATCAATTTTTCCTTGTATAAACCATTTTTAAATCTACTGATAGTGTTAGAAAAAAGTTTATGATACTTGTAAATTTTATTCTAATGACGCGTGGGATAGAGTGATGTTTAAAAAATTATTACTATTTATTCATTTTACAGAAACTAAAGTAAACATTATTTTTTGTGATATAGAAATCATCTTGGTTGAATGTTTTTCTTGCTGAACTGCTGATTGAAGTGGAAAATGGAACTGATATTAAGTACTTAATATCAGGCTTGTAAGTATAAATTCACAAATATATTATGTGTCTTAGCATAGATCAAACATTTCTTTTATTAAAAGATATCTATAAACATTTTTAATACCGTAAACTGGGGCTATTAGGAACAGATTTCAACTTTAAAGGCTTGTAATTTTCTTGTGTATTGAAATATTGCCTTAATTTTTGTTTCTTTTCTTGATCTTGGCGAGCACATTGAAGGGTTAAAGGATTTTTTTGATTAAAGCTGGAATTTTAATCAAAAAAGACGCATTTTTTCGAAATTACAAAAACCATTGTAAAACGTATTTTTAAAGTTAAAAAAGTTATTGTTTATTGCTCGAAAGTACACACACAATTTAAAACAAAGGTAAAAACGAAACTAAAAGAGCGAATGTGTGTTTTTAAAAGTTGTTGGTATCATCAGTTGAGGTCGACGATGGAGTCACTGGTCGTTTATTGCGAGTTGTCGGTTCCAACATACACTCTTTTACAATTTCGAACCATCTATGAACACTAGAAACCAAATTAGGCGATTAAAAACAAAAGAAATTACGAAAAACTTACGTCTTGACAACGCACACTTTAACAATTCGGAAGAAATTATTGTGTTCCTTATATACCCGCCGTTTGTGAATTTTGGTTTTTGTTTCTAAAATCTTACTGTAAATACAAAATAAACATATTTATTACTTAGTGAACTCAATAAGGTTTCCCATAAGAAATCCCTTTAATAACAAACAATCACTTTGAGAAGTTAAAACAGGAACAATTTACCCCGGCAATCAAATGTTTTCCACGTTTGAAATTTCTCTAAAACACACTAAGACACTTACAAGCTACTACTGTTCACAAAATAATTAATAGTCACAATTATTGCATTGGAAAGTGTTGCCAGTTACCGCAGCAACAATTTTTCAAAAGCAAGTAACACAATTCATCGATACACGGCGCCGATAGCATCAACTCCACCCGAAAACAGAATTTTATTCCTAATAGAGTTAAGTTTACGGTACCCTTTACCCTTTATCCAATAGAATAATACAATAATTAATTTTACTGCAATTTATCACGTCGTTTTCGAAACATAAAAAAACAAGTGTCTCTTTATTTTTCAGATGTAAATTATCAGATTCAGATGTGAATATTTTAATAAAAAACTTTCTTTACTTGCAGTTCTATTGGAATAAATGGAGTTTCTACGCTAATTGCTTGTGAGTTACTGTCAGATGTACATTCCATATGTACATCTAGAGGAAATGAAAATGAAATAGTAGCACTACGAGAATATCTAGTGCACAATCGTGGCTGGAAATGTCTCACAGTCCTCAAGTTGCTTGGGGTCCAAGGCATATCGTGTGGTCAAGAGTTAATGACCTTACTTCTTGCACTCTACCCAGTTACTTTTCAGAACACGACCGATTTTGTTTCCCCTAATCCGTATGTAAAGTTTTCTTCCGACAGTGAAATTGATTCGATTAACTTTATCTGTCATGTTATGAAGCAGAATACCAAAATTAAACACAGTTCGAACAGTAATGCCTCGCGACGAAAACGAATTAGGAAATACAATGTTGACAGTGTGAAGCAGAGTCAATTGAGGAAGTGCCCCTACGACACAAAAGATTCTCGTAGAAAGGTCAACAGCGAATCAGAGGAGTTCTCCGATGGCAATAGTGAAACAAATTCCTCAGCTCTGAATGTCCAACTGAAGTCACTGGAACTTGGTAATTTAACAACTATGTTTTTTGGAAAAAATGATGAAAAGTGCAAAGCAAACTTTACTTCAGATACTGAACTATTTAAAACTTCTGGGAAAGAAACTTATCAAGATTTTATCAACGAGGAAGTAAAAGCAGTCTTTGATTCTGAAATCGGCCATTTCGAAACAAGCCTTTTGATTCTTCAGCTTCTGGAAGACCTTCGGGAGTACGAATTTCCTTCGGAAACTACAGCTGTGGTACAGATAATTGAATTCTCTCTAGACATACTCTGGAGTCTGCAATTTAAGACTGATATGAATTTGACAAATCTAGAGTGCGCTAGACTCAAAGCTGCAGCGTCAAGGCTTATGCTGATGTTTCTACAACGAATTCTGAAATCTGAAGTGCCGATGGCTGCTATGATTAAGAGTGGTTTCATACCCATGAATCTAAGAATTATTGAGGACGCTTGTGGAATTTCAATTTCAGATGTCACGTCCGAAGAAAGATTATATTTACAAGAGTTTATTTTTGCAACAATTTATGGAGCTACATCTATTCTATATGATACGCTGCATCAGGCAAAATTAATGAAAAACTTTAAGCATTTTTCAGAATTTTTTCATTTATTTGCGGGAATCCAAAACGGAAAATTGATGCAAAGGGCAATAATGTTATTACTAGACTGCAATCAAATTACATCTGTCACCAGAGTTGGAAAAATAATTGATATGATGGGAGCTTTAATTAGTACTTTAAAAACAGTGAGAAAAGAATTAAATTATGCTGATAAGGGAAATGAAATGACTGAAAATGCTAATACTCATCATCATTATTGTGATATTTTTGGACTTCCATTTCGGAATGAGCCTTCGTTAAACTCAGATTCATCTCAAGTAGGTCTATTTTCTATAAAGTAATTTTCTATAAATCTGTAACATTACCATTGTCATTAATAAAGAATATTAAATAAATTTTCCAGGTTTGTTACGTTTCATTTCTGTTGACGACTTTAATCTCTCTGTTGGCTGAGGCTCATACATTTGAAAAAAATCTTCAAATTAAACTCTTGAGGGTAATGACAACTGCTGGAATCTGTTGCTGTTTCCCACCAATAACGTTTCTTCACAATGTCATAGGATTCCTGAAGAAGTCAAACAGCCAAACTTACAATCTTGCCGCAGCACTTTTAGAACATGTTCTTTTTAAGGAACTTGGAGATAATTCCATTTCATTGGAAAATTGTGACGTGTGTAACAAATTAAAGCGTCATCAATGGAAGTTTTTGGAACTTTATAATGATATTTTATTGCCCGATGATCCAAAATTATGTTCAGTCATTATTGTACATCTATTAAAAGTTACTCCTGCTTCTGGTTTTCAAGTGAAGGAAACCTTGCTTTTTAAAGTATTTTACTCAACTTTTTCAAGAGCAATAGAATATTTGGAACAAGATGAAAGCAATGCAATGGTTAAATTTCTTATACACGCTTGTTTATTCATAATTGCAAGTCTAATTACAAGCTCATCATTATTCGAGAAGTTTATGGAAATCGATGGTTTAAAGGTAAAATTTCTACATTTCTTTAAAGTTCTATAATTCTTTCTTATAACTTAAATTAATGTAGACCTACCGAATGATAAATGCTTTTCCTTTAAACACAATTTATATTGTAACTTATTTCGCTAGAATAACTTTCGCTGACAATGAAGAATCAATTGAAGAATTTTTTACGTTTTAACATTTTAGGGTCCCATGAAACTTCTTCGAAATCCTAATTTCACTAAAAGTGCTTATAATCTGTTGGAAGTTGCTGTTATAATGGAAAATTGTAGAATGCCTGGTAGTAGTTCGAAAAATATTGAAAATATGAGCTCTGAAGCACCAGCTCTCGCAGTTTTATTAAAATCTCTTGACAGAGAAAGTAGAGGCCTTATAGCAACTTTGAAAACTGATGTTAAAGAGGAAACTGTGCAAGAAAAAAAAGAGTCTGATTTAATGTACTGTGATGGTTTGCAGGAAATTGTAAACAACATGTTTTCCACAAATTTGACACGAACGAATAATGCGCCTGATTTTGAAAGTATTTTCGTGGAAGGGCTATCAGAAAAAGAATTAAATGTATTAGAAACGAGAGATACGCATAGAAACGTTAAATTCGACCAAGTTAATGTTGCATGGCGAACTGCTGCTAATATTACTTTGTCTTGCTCAAGATTTCAGGCAGAACTCTTGAATCATCCAGTTGCCAAGACGATGGAAGAATTATTTAAATTATTGTCAGTTCTCGTTGCAACGAACAAAATTACAGGTACGTTTTTTTATATAATAATACACTCAAAAACACTTTTATCTTGCATTTATTGTACATGGGTAATATGAATTAGTTGAATCATTCACATTGGGACTTGAAGAATTTTTTATTAGGGGTTTTATTCGTAATTAATAAAAAAATACACCTGCAATAATTAAAAGCAAAAATGAAGAAAATTTAATCATCTATTAATGAGAGTATTGAAACAAAAACTGCAATAACTCACAATCAAATTAAATACTCTTTAAAGACATAATCAGCAAAAAATATTTCAACTAAAATTTGGACAGATAATTAGATTTCAGGGTTGCTATGCAATCTGGAATCCTAGAATCCTGAAAAATTGTTGTATTCTAAAGTTATTGTGTTTATTCTTGAAATATAATTTCACTTAAATATTTCAAAATTAATTCAATTTTAAAAGAATTACGTTTAGATTTAACTTAGATTTAAAAAAAAAATTTTTAACTAAAATTCATCTGAAATTAGTTAAATTTTTTAATAAATATATTTAATTGAATATTAAAAATAATAGATTTTATAGAAGAATTTTAGTTAAAAGCACTAAATCAAATTTAATTTTCATACAATTAAAAATGATTGCAGAAATTCAATTATTTTTAAAAGTAGTAAAATTCTTCTCAAAAATTTAATTATTTTCAAAAATTTTAATAAAATTCTTGGCAATATTTATATTATTTTGAAAAACTTTCTTCAATTCAATGATTTTTAATATCTACTACTTTAATAAAAATTCCAAAAAGAATTCAATTAGGTAGTTAAACAAAATTTTAATAAAATAATTCTACGCAAACAATTCATTATTTTCATAAATAATAAAAATTCCACAGGAATTCAATTATTTACAAATTATTTTCATAAATAATAACATTTTTTACAGGGATTCAATTATTTTCATCAATAATAAGACTCAATATTGAATTTAAATTATTTTTAATACAATTTTAATTGAATTCCTTGAAGAAAGTTATTAAATAATTATTTTATTAATCAAAGAAATTCAATAATTTATTTTAAAAACCTTTGCTACAATTCATTTATTAGAATTTAAGTATTGTTTTCAATACAGTTTTAATAAAATTTCTTTAAAGAATCAAATTATTTTTAAAAATGTTAATGAAATTCTTTGCGTAACAATTCAATTTTTTTCAAAATAATTTTAATAAAATTCTTCGCAGAAATCTAATTCTGTTTAACCCGTTGCCTGTTTCCGACCCACGGGTGGGTCGTGAAAAAGTATGGCCATAACTGTTTCCGACCCACCCGTGGGTCGTGTTCACTATCACTTAAAATAAATATAATTTGTATATAAATTGATAGATATTTTTCTTTATATCAATATTATAAGAAATTATAAGGGTCATTAATGATATTTTAGAAAATAATTGAATAATTAGTTATAATTTAAATATATTATACTATTTGAAAAAGTATCAGATTCCGCTGGGCAGTTTGGGACAATCATGTTGTATTTTCCTCAAACAGTTAAGGGGTTAAAAATTTACAAAAATTCTCGTCAAAATTTCAATTATCTTTATAAATAATAACATTTTTCTCCGAAATTCAATCACTTTTAGGAATTTTAATAAAATTCTTTACAAATAGCAAAATTTTTCGCCAAAACTTCAATTATTTTCAAAAATTTATAAAAATCTTTGCAAAAGTTCAATTATTTTCAAAAGTTTTTTGCAATTCAATAATTTTCAATATTTACTATTTTCATAAAATTTATCAACAGATTTAATTATAGAAAAAACTTTTTGATAGAATTCTTCGAAAAGATTCAATTATTTTCATAAATAATAAAATTTCATTTACGAATTCAATTATTTTCATCGCAGAATTTCAAATATTTTTAATACAATTTTAAATAAATTCCTTGAAAAATGCAATTATTATTAAAAATTTTATTGAAACTTGAGGAAAGAATTCAATTTTAAGAAACATTCAATTATTCAATAAAACAATAAAATTCGTTGCAATAATTCTGATATTTTCATAAATATAACATTTAATTCGACGCAGAAAATCAATTATTTTCAAGAATTTTTAAGTAATTTTGCAAAAAAAGTCAATTAGCTTGATAAACAACAAAATCGCATAAATTCTTTCGATAAAATCAATTCTTCTACGGAATTTTAATAACATTCTTTTCCTAAATTCAATTATTTTGATAAATATCAAAATTCATCACAAAAATTCAATTCTTTTGAAAAATAATAAAATACTTTGCAGAAATTAAATTATTTTCAAAATTTTTTAAAAATTCTCGTCAAGAATTAAATTAAATAAATTTTTTATAAATTCTTCAAAAAGTTTTTAATTATTTTCAAAAATTGTTATAAAATTCTTTAATATAATAAATTTCATTAAAATTTTAATTAAATTCTTTAAAAGAAATTAAATATTTTCAAAAGTTGTTAATACAATTCTTCGTAAAAATTAAATTTTAACAAACATTCAATATTATTTATTTTTGTATTTAAATAATTTTAAATTATTATTTTTCGTACTTTTAACTAACAATTCTGTAGAATTAATTTTTCTGAAAAAGTTTAATTGAATAATAATTGATGTTATTGATTTAAAGTAGAATTTTAGTTAAAAATTCTAGAAAATGTTAATTGAATTGATATGATACAAATAATTGTGAAGAAATTGCAGTAACAATATTCTTATAATAATAAAATAATGATTTTGTCAGTCGGTCATCTTTATGTTTTATAATACCTAATATTCTTAAAAGTTGTTCAATTTGAAAATGTTTCAATTTGAAATTTTTAAACATCGTAATTATCCAATGAAAAAGGAAAAAAATGATTAAATATTTATTTGAAAAAGAAGTTGTTGATGTTTTGGAATAATTTTACTTTTGAAGAAATTTGTAAATAAATTGAATAGAACATTTTTTTTCGTATCTAATAATTTTGAGAGTGAATCAGAATATTCTTTAGTTTACAGTGAGGGAAAAAGTGAAAGTTGTGTTTGAAAATGAGGGAAAAGTGAGGGAAAAATAAAGTTAAATTTTTGTGGCAACCGTGTATAAATAAATTCTACTTTTTATCTTTATTTAGCTAATTGTTATGGTCCCCTAAAAGTCCCCTATTTCCCCTAAAATACTTTTTAGGGGCACTGTGAAGCTTGGAAATATAGTAGAAATAGAATTTTAAAGGTATCTTTTAATAAAAAAAAATTAGAAGTGATACGAAGGAAAGTTTAGTAATAAAATTGTTTAAGAAAAATATTAAAAATTAAATTAGATTGGTGCAAAAACTGAGAAGTTATATTGAAAAATTCGTATTGCTTTGCTACCCCGGGTAGCTCCTAATAGCGCGAAGGTTAAAAATCTTAAAAAGCAGGTCACAGTGTCTTTCGATAAATACAATTGACTGACCTTACATTACTTTTCTAATGAATATGTAAAACAAATATTTGATTAATTAGAATAATTATTTATTACTAATTTGAAGATTATTTTTGTAGATAACAAAAATTCGGTGCAGAGGTTGTTGGAAGCCCTAATTACTTGTAATTCAATATCTGTGTTGTGTAAGTGCTTCTTCCTTAATATTACCATTCTTATTCATTCTTATTCATAGTCTGTGAAGCAGTATATTTTGTATGACTGATCATGTAAATTATTAATAACTCACATCTGCGGATTAGAGAATCGGAGAATGCAATATCGTTTGAATGCTGAACAGTACTCAGTAAATTATAAGCAACGTATGACACACTTTTACCATTTCACAATATCGTGTTTATAATAATACACATATAATATATTTGATTAAACGACTTTTTGCAACAGGTAGTAGTAGCAGTACTGCCAAGGAGATTGAACTCAGAAAGGCTCTCATGGATCCAAGGATTAAGTTGGGAGGAGGACTTGTGTTATTGGTTGAGTCTCTTCTTCGAGTATCTGTACTGAAGCGCAATCAGGATAAAGAAGTTTCACAACTGAAACGACCAATAGTAAGTCTCAAAAATAAGCAGGGGTTCTTCTCAACTGTCAGTTAGCCGAACTGCTATGTCGTAAACTTAACGCAAAACAATTGCCTTGAAAGTAGGTTAAAGGGAAATGCAGTTTTATGAGTGATTAAAATTAAAAGGGCATTCATTAAAAATTTCGTTAGTCAGAGAACCTTCACTGTCAATAAAAATTGTTGTTTCTTATATTTCCAGTATAAGAAAAATTATTTTGTAAATCTGACAGTCTATGTTTTTATATAACGGTTGTGCTAACAGAATAATTTTGATTCAGTGCTTGAAAAAAAATCAAAATCGCTTGTCCGTAAGTTTAAAATTTTCAAGTATTGCACTTGATATTTACAGTACCGATCAAAATTGAGAGACCATCCATTTTCAGGGGAATGACAAAAATTTTTAAACATAAAATTTATGAAAAATAAAATTTGTTTCGGTATTTGTTTTGAAAGATGATAAAATTTTGAAAAGAATAAGACCTTACTGAATTCATTTGGCCAGTATTTAGCTTATTTTAAAGGTCATTTGCTACAGAATAAGAATTACTTCTAGGCATTAACGTGTAATTTTTTTCTTACTTGATGGACTAAAATAATATTTAAAAAATTTGAAACAATTTTATTAACAGAAAAATAATTTAAAAAATTCGAACTAACTTTTTTTTATTAAATTCTTTTGAAAAATCTACACCATAATATGTTTTATAATATTTTCTAGAATAATTTTTAGTACAAAAAAATTATTTCAAATTTCTTGAATTTTTTTTGTCTAACTTTGACGACCTGCATTTTCTAAGAAAAAATTACACGTTAATGCCAATAAATAATTCTCATACTGTAGAAAATCACCTTTGAAATAAGATGAAGATTATTAAAAAGCATTTATTATTTTAGAAGTTATTCTTTTTTTAAAACATTGAAAATAAAATTCTAGTTTCCATAAATTCTATTTATTTCTATGTTTTAAAATGTTTTTCATTCACCTGAAAATGGGTGGTCTCTCAATTTTGACCGGTAGTGTAAATAATCTGTTCTAGATAAATCATTGCTTTACTGACCGACAATATTAAGGGAAAAATCAACATTTGTAAGAGCAAAAATTCCATTGTAATCTTAATCACCTACATACATTTTTGTTAAACGACAGTTGAACAATTTTTTTGTTTCGCTAAAAACTCATTTTGCGAGGAAAAAATTGAAGCCTTATAAATGCAATTTTTTTCAGTGTATTACATTAGATATTTGTAATATTACTTTGTTACCGTAATATTACTTCTTGTAATATTCTTTATTCTTTATTTCTTCTTTAATATTTCTTTTTCGTAATATTACTTGCAAGTAATGGAAATAGAAATGGAAACTTATCGAAATTTTTTTTTTTTTTTTTTTGAAAAAATACAAAGTAGGGTGGTTGTACCAGTTGTCCAAAACTTTAAAATTTTTTTGGTGGCCATTTTGACTTTTTTAATTTTGATCAAAGATTTGGATTCAGCGACCCAAAAACACACAAAATATAAGAATAGCATTTAAAAAAAAAGAAAAAATATTTAACACATTTGACACGAAAGCTTTATTTTGACAACACTGTTAAGAGGTTAACCACCACCTGAAAAACATAATAACATTTTTTATTGTAATGTTTTTAATGCTTTTACCTGAAGGAAACTTTGCTTGAAACCAAAAATATTCATGAAGTGACTCAGGCTTCAGCTGCGTAGGAGACTTGCGCGTTAGTGAAGCTGCGGTTTTTCGATTTTAATCCTAAATGAAGCGTTCTTATTTAACCCTCGAAGCACACATCTCTTTTTTCGAACAAGAAGCATACAATTACTTTTAGGTCACAGGACCTCTAACTGTTACAGTTTTTAAAAGAAATTTTAGTTTAAATTAAAAGATAGGGTCACACAGACCCCGTATGTGCTCCGAGGGTTAAAAGGGAATTTTTATCTAAAAATTTATTTTCCACAATGTCTTTACATTAAGGGAACGTTCATAAACTACGTAGACCAATTTTTTGGAAATTTTAACCCCCCCCTCCCCCCACGTAGACGCAATTACATGTATTAGCGCCACTTTTTCCTCTTATGGTAGACAATTGCTTGACTCCCCCCCCCCTCCCCCTTGAAGTGCTACGTAGTTTATGAACGTTCCCTAAAAGATTTAAACAAAATAAAACTAATACTTGAATCCTATTTTAGTTACCCACTTTCATTTCTGATGTAACAACAGATTGTGGAACCGATGATAGTAGTAATGATGAATACATAACAGGGGATGATGGTTACGAGGCAGACGTCGAAATTCTTGTAAATAATTCGCATGAAAACTCACACAAAGGAATGTCTGATCCAGTGACTTCTCTACGAGAACACATAGAGACTCATCCTGCACTGTGTTCTCTTGCTCTTGATCTTCTCATTCATTTTAGTAAGCAGTAAGTATTTAATATGAATATAAAGTATGACATCAATTTGGAAAAAGTTTAGACCAATACGATTTATCTTTAAACGGTTTAACATGGCATTACACGGACCTGAAACTTATTAAACATACTTCAACATATTTCATTGACAGAAGAATTCATTTTTGGGGTATCATCATTTTTATGATTTCAACGGGAATTCCATGTCTTGTATAATAATTAATTATACGTTTACGCCCGCATGAAAAAGATCCACTTTGTCGATTTTATTTTACGACATAATCCCAATTTTCTTAAAGTTTTACTTTAAATTACGTTTTTGAACACTTCTAACTTTGAATCTCTACAACTGAGACAGCGCAAAGAGTTCGAAACTCAATCAAGAATACGCTCGTATAGATAAGTCCAATAGTGGTCACTTTTCATGCGTGCGTACTCATGTTAATAAGCTACAAAGATTAAAGAAAGGAATTTAAAAATTATTAACAGATAATTACTATTATAAGGGGCACAGATGCTGAAAGAGAACATATTGTAACCATCGGTTTAAGAAGAATAGCTTCTACCTGCAGGGAAAGTGTCTCAATATGTGCTGCTCTCTCTAACAACGGAGCGATTTCGAGACTGCTTGATGGATTCAATCATGTCTTGGAAAGTACAGAACCTCAACGAAAAGGTAAGAATAATTAGTATAATGATGATATTCCCTTCCGAAATTTTTTTATATTAAAACTTGCAATGATGAAAAAAAGGTTCAACAAAGATTCAGAACTGTCTGTTTTACTCTTTTAAAAGAACCTTCTTAATACATATGAGGCATTCCATGTCAAGTGATCCAGGTGTCTTACGGTGTAATGCTTATTTCGATAATTTTTTACTCTTAAACTATTAAACATAAAAATTTGGCAAGGTACATTTTGGAAAGGTTTTTTCATGCTCTTTCGATTGAAAATAAGCATTTAAAAAAAAAATTTTTTGACCCAAAAAAATCAAAATTAAAAATAAATTTTAATTTTTTGGAAAAAAGGTCCCATTTTTTTTTTTTTTTTTTTTTTTTAAACGAAAGCTGAGGTTTTTTCCTAAAAGGACATATAAATGAAAAAGTGGGACAAGAATGTTTAAACATTGAAAAACAGAGGTTTCTACTCTCTAAACCCGGTTTTTAGCTCTGTTTACGAGAAAATTCATTTTTTCAATGTTTAAACATTCTTGTCCCACTTTTTCATTTATATGTCCTTTTAGGAAAAAACCTCAGCTTTCGTTTAAAAAAGAAAAAAAAAAAAATGGGACCTTTTTTCCAAAAAATTAAAATTTTTTTTTAATTTTGATTTTTTTGGGTCAAAATTTTTTTTTTTTTAAATGCTTATTTTCAATCGAAAGAGCATGAAAAAACCTTTCCAAAATGTACCTTGCCAAATTTTTACGTTTAATAGTTTAAGAGTAAAAAATTATCGAAATAAGCATTGTACTGAAAAACCCAAAAATTTAACCCCCTCCCCCTCGGAAAATATTGGACTATGTAAAAAAATATTTTCACGAAAAATTACTATCTATTAGTACTACAAAAGCCCCAAGTTTTGCTACGATTGGAGAAAAATTTTTCTCCACCCGGATCACTTGACATGAAATGCCTCATATGTTCAATTTACAGTATTTTTTCACAGTAATACAATAGATTAAAATAGAAGTTATTGAGTCATATTTTCATTTATTTGCTTTTACAAAAATTAATAGATGAATATACTTTTATTTTTCAGACCTTCAACATGCTGTTCTGGAAGTGTTTACTCTACTTGCAATTCAATCCATTTCTCCATCAGAATTAATTAGCTACTTGGCATTTTTCAAAATTCCTGAACCACCTCTTTTGTCCCTTCTGGAGCCTCTTTACCGGCTTGTTATGTTAACTAAACCTCAACCCAACTACATTCTTTCCTTTCCAATTCCAATGCAGTCAGAAATACCTACTAAAAATAACAATGGAGACAACGTAAAAGCCAACAAAGATGTAAGCACTTTCAGTGACTTTCGAAAAAGACATCACTTATCAGAGATGTGCAGTTTGTCATCAACTCATGCGGTATGTTTGACAGTGGTACCAGAACTTTCTTGGACAGTGTGGTTACATGGAGGATCAGCTTCAATGTGGTTGAGAGTCGAAAGGAGCCATTCATCTAATTACAGAAGTTACAGCCCAAACTCTAATTCAGTGATTAGCCACGACAGTGAAAACTTGCACAACTGGGGAGTCGTGATCGACAATTGGAGTCAAGAGGTCGTGAAAAGTAATTCATATTTTCCAACATCGAAATCAATTGTGCATTTAATGTCTGTTTGTCTAAAATCTCTCGCTCTTGAATTGTGGACAGACCTTAAAGCTGACAAACTCATTCTACGACTTACCCGACCAGAGGGTAAAACGAATCGTACCCTTTCTGAGACGTCGCTTAGTGGACTTCTACCGTCCGGCAAATGGCACCATTTAGCTTTGAATTTTAAATACACCGTGCTGAGTAAACATGACGCAATAGTAGAGGTAGTGTTATGGGTGGACGGTTGGAAAGAGGCTACAGCTCAGTTGCCTTTCGATGGTCTTCTCCTGAGGAAACCCGAAACAACTTGCATATTTCTTGGACAAGTTGGACACAACGAATATGGCGCCTGGTATCTCGGAAATTTATTCATGTTTCGAAGTCCAATTTTCACTCGAAAGAAAGCTCTATATCTTGCCAGTCTCGGTCCTAACTATACAAATTTGTCCGAGTGCACTTTAAGCAAGGAGAGACCAAACTTCTCACCTCTCATAACATCTGTAGCACTAAATGGCGTTCAAGAACTCAAATTCGAAAGTGGAAAATTTGATACAAGTCGTAGAAAATCATACGGAGGAACGTATTTACGACAAACACTAGAAACAAAGAGTATTGATAAGACGATTGATTGGGACTTTGTAACTCACGCTACAAATACTCAGCTGAGAGATTTACAGGATAATTTGCTCCTCAGTTACGAAGCTCAAAATCCATTAGTTGTCCATTTGTATCCTCAAGCTCTCACCAGTCCGGAAGCAATAGTGCGAAATATTTTACCAGGACAATCTGCTTTCCGAGTTAATATAGCGCCAGAGCATCGTGTTTCTCAACAACCGCCCCTTTCAATATCTTCAAATGTCTTTACTCACTTGGAAAGCAAACAATGCAAGGGCTTGATTCCTGCGGTTCAGCAAATCGGCGGAGTTTCCATCTTTCTCTTCTTATTTGCTCGGGTCATAGAACTTCGCTCCAGTGAAGTTGATCAGGCTTTGGCACTTTCGATTGTTTTAAATCTTGCGCACAGCGATTCGGTTTTACTGAATCAGTATCGGTCTGATGGAATACCATCGCTTCTTCTTCAAGTTCTCGAATCGAAGCGTTGTTGCGTTGGAAGGCATATATTGAAAGCCATTCTGGACTCCGCCTGTGATAGTTCTTTATTTGTCAAAGACATAAGAAACGAAATACATCTGATTTGTCACGATTGCAGTACACTAATTACAGATCCAGAACTGATTAAATATGCTTTAGAAGCTTGGAGAATTTGGTTAAAGCATGATACTCTCAATTTACTTTTGCAGTCTCTGCTTCTCTTACTAAGAGATCAGCATTCTCTAAGGGAGTTCAATGCTTTCCAACTTAATAGAATTCACTTTGTTGATACGATTTTAACTTTATGCAAAGAATACTTTTTGTATGAAAACATTGAGTTATTGGATCCTACCGCTGGGAATACTATTGTAGAATTAATTCGCTCATTAATGGGCTCTCCGCCAAAGTTTTCTCATCTTGTCGCCATCACAGACTATTTGCTCCTTGTCCACACGGCATCAAATACTTATGTTACACATTCAAAATACAATATGTATTTCTTATTGCCTGCGTTTGAAAAAATTACAACTCATATGACAAAGTCTCTGACTTCCTCGAACGAGCTAGTGTCGACAAAGAGCAGTAAACTTGATAAAGCTGACACGAACAACCAAATAAAGAAGGGGAAGACAAGAAAAAAAGAAAAGCAAAGGGAACCACCGCACGAAACGAATACGGGGGAAGATTCTGGCATTGCGGCCAGTGATTGTTCAAATCAAAATGAGGATGAAAAAGTCTATACGGACAAACGAAAAGCGTGCATGGGATTAGTCTGCGAAGGTTTACTCTTGTTGCTCAGAGATGCCTTGAGAGTTTTGCCTGACAGTCAGGTTGAGTCAGTACTCAAACACGTGCTGCGTGCTGAGCTGATTCTTGTTTTGTCGAACAACGATAATGCGCGAATCCGGACTGCATTAATTAAAGTGATACAGACTTATGTGGAGCGAGCAAGTGATGAGGATATTAATAAGTTAATTAAACAAAGGTACTTTATGCACCTTGCTAATCAAATTTCTCTTTATCCTGGAAGCGAACCGTTAATAGTCGCTCTCGCAAATCTAGCACTGAAGGGTCCCAGTTTTTGTGCTACACCACCTTTACTGGCGATGATTTCGAAGACAGCAGCGAAGGACCCGAATCTTGCGCAACCTATAATTAGCTTCTTGACAGACATTATCGCCAAGAATCCTCATTCCCTAAAAATAATGTTAGAACAGGGTTTAAAGGAGTCACTAGTTCGATCGCTGATACACTCTGCCCATAAGGGGAATTCATCAACTCTTTCGCGAGACATTAATGTATTATTTGTAACGATTGCAAAGCAATTTCTAGAATCTCCAGGATATCATAATATGCAGGCACTTTTGGATTTACATTTAGTTCTGAGTTACGGAGAGTTGCAAGAAAAAATGAATTGTGGAAAGGAAAAATTGTGTGTTTCTGTTATCAGGAGCGCTCAGGTTGCTCTCTTTGATGGAGAACTGGACGCTTTAACTTTAAAAGTTTTAAGCGAATCAGGTTTCAGATTGAAAAACACAGCATCATATTTAGCGTCTACTTCTTATTTAACATCAGTTCTGACAACTTCTGGTGAGCAGCTTGACAAGGGTCTGCAATCTTCTAGCAACGAAAGCCTAACGGAAACATTTACTTCAGTTTCGCGGGAACTTGCGAAGGGAGAACTAAATGAAAGATTTCGCATGGTTTTGAATAAAGCTGTTGATTTCGTTACATCAGCTGATGGTGAAACATCTGAAGAAGAATTGCAATTATCAAAAAGGCTGTTTTCAACTCTCCTTCACGGTTTATCTGATCCGTTAGGGAAAAAAAGTCTGTGGGGTGGAACCTGGTCGTCGAGGCCCACTTTACGCAAAATCTCGTCAGAAATATTGATTTGGTTATTAGCGCCGCATCAGAACATTTGTACTAGAATTTATGCTGTCAGAATTCTGATGGATGAACCGAGAGTGAAGGAAGTTTTAACTTCTCTCCTGGATATTCATCCTCAAGTTGAGCAGAAGTTTATTATCTTTTTGTGGGATTTATGTCGAAGAGAGATGTCAAGTGCAGATGCTTTAATTTGTACTGAGCTGCGAAACGCTCTGAACGTTTGGGGCTTGATAAAATGTTTAGATATGGATGGGTCGGCTCTTTGGTTGGAGGAATTAAATCTTTTGAGGCAAGAATTAGTTAAAGACCGGAACATTTGGATGGAGAATAATTTTCCAAAGATGAAGAAAATCAGTCAACAATTTGATGTGATTGCAAAACAACTGATAGAAAGTGCCATGTCTATAACCGTATCAATTGTGGAAGAACAGAACCGAGAAAGAAAAATATTAATAGAAAATTTGAAAAACTCAAAGGCTATGAAGGCGCAGACATTGTCTAGATGGAGGAAACTGATAAAACTGTTAACCCACGAACGAGCGCCTTGGTATTTCAAAGATGGTTACCCCATGCACTGGGAACTTGATCCTACGGAAGGGCCTTCCAGAGTACGGACGAGACTTCAAAGATGTCATTTAGGTATAGATGGCAAATTCTTCATGTTTGATCGACAAAAGAATTCAAATGCAGAGAGGTTAGATGGTCCACTATCTTATTTATTCGATTCAAATCAACAAGACGCGACTATTACTGCTTTGATTGAGAGACTCCATACTAATGAAAGAATTAACAAAATGTCTCCGGTGAGTATTGTCATGCCGCACGCAGAACTGGCAGGAGAAATTCTGATCGCTGAAACTCGTTTATATTTCATTCCCGATACGTCCGACGCGACAATACAAATAGACATAACTTTGGGAGGAACAGATCTCACAACAGGGGGAGCCACAGCGTGGAGACTGGACAGCATACTTGAATTTCATCGGAGGCGATATCAGTTGCAAGAGAGGGCCATAGAGATATTTCTTGTGACGGGAAGAACTTATCTGCTGGCTTTCAATTCTTCAAAAGACAGGGAAGAGTTTATCGCAGAGTTATCCACGTGCAATCTCTCCAAGCGAATACCAGGAGACAATTTGGAGGAAAATTTAGCTCTCTGGCGAAGTGGGAGCCTAACAAACTGGGATTACATAACGTGTTTAAATAAATTGGCTGGAAGATCTTATAACGATTTGATGCAATATCCCGTTTTTCCTTTCGTGTTGTCAGACTACACCAGTGAGAATATCGATCTGAGTAACTGGAAAATCTATCGGAACTTTAGGAAACCAATGGCTGTGCAGGATTCAAAAAATGAGCAGCATTATATTAATAATTACAATTATTTGAAGCAAGCCGCGAATGAAGGTTTAAATCTCATCGCACTGAATCAAGAACCTTTCCACTACGGTTCTCATTATAGCAATTCGGGGACTGTTTTACACTTTCTTGTACGACTTCCACCCTACACCAGCATGTTCCTTTCATACCAAGATGATAATTTCGACATTCCCGATCGTACGTTTCACGCCCTCGCTACAACATGGAGACTGACGAGTTGCGATTCAACGACGGACGTTAAAGAATTGATTCCCGAATTTTTCTATCTTCCGGAGTTTCTGCTTAATTCGGAGGGTTTCAATTTTGGAGTGAGACAGAATGGAATTAGAGTCACTGATGTGGAATTACCACCGTGGGCTAGAGGCGACGCCAGACTCTTTATTCTCGTTCACAGAGCTGCTTTAGAGTCTGATATTGTGAGGAAAAATTTGCCATTTTGGATCGACTTGGTTTTCGGCTTTAGACAAACTGGAAAGCCAGCGGTAGAGGCGATTAACGTCTTTCATCCTGCAACTTACTATGGATTCAATGTCGAAGAAATTACCGATCCTTTAGAGCGTCAAGCTTGGGAAACTATGGTTAGGACTTATGGTCAAACACCTGCTCAATTATTTAGAACTGCTCATCCTCAACAGACCTCACACATTTCGACTTCTCTGCAACTAAACAGTCTTCCTCCCGTTGTAGATGGCATCAGTGGAATTAAATGGGGTAATTACGTGGGTGCACCTGGAAATGACCCTGTACTGTGCTGGAAACACAAACATAGGCTCTTATTGGCTTCACTAATTCCATTGTTAACGGGTGACGTTTTTGGATTACCTCATCATACTACTCTCCTATTGGGATACAACAAGGAAAAAGGTAAATTTTTATGATCAATTACGAGGTACTTTTGCACCACTTAGTTTAACATTTTACGGAGAAACCTTTGGGTCGTCTGATCACACAGGGACTAAAATTTTTGCTTTCCTCTTCAACGAAGGTCATAATAATACTGTAGTAATTTCTAATTTCTGCCCATGCCCTTGCAGCAGAGCTTAATGAACAACTAACAGTCTCTAAAATCGCAATCCATTTTACTATACTGGAACTAAAACTTCCTGCAGACTTAATACTCCCTTAAAACCACATCTTCGGAAATAGCCAAAGTTTTTAAAGCTGTTTTATTGTACAGTAAACTTTCCAGACAAAAAAAAGTTAATCCTCATCTTGTTTTTCCGGGTAATTTTAGTGACATGATTTTCTGCTGTTTGCCTTTTTTGAAATAAAACTTGTTTATAATAAAAAATGTAATGTTTTCAGGAGCAAATACTTCAGCAAACATTTTGGCGTTGGGAGCAGGCTTGGTTTCCTGGAAAGGCAATGATGGTATTGCGAGACTGAAGTTTAAGAAGGACCAAGCGCCAAAGCCCTTAATTAAATATTCTGGTCTTGATCCTGTATGTATATAAAAACTGTTTTTCATTTAAAAAATATGAAACATAAGACAACTACGGTCGGGTCTCTGTATTGCAAAATTTTCCTTGCATAAAGGTATCGATATTCAATAATAGTCAGGAAATTTTTATCAGAATCCTGGAAAACTATTGTGTTTGTTCTTGAAATCTAATTTTACTTAAATATTTCAAAATGAATTGAATTTTAAAAGAGTTGCGTTTACAATCTTCATAAATAGATAGATGAACTTCAAAAGATTTTAATTTGAAATTTTAGAAAATTTCATTTTATAATTAGAAATTTCACAGCAATTCTATTATTTACAATTTTTTTTATAAATTTCTTCCCAATAATTCAATTATTTTCATAAATGATAAAATTTTTACAAGGATTCAATTATTTTCATGAATAATACAATTCTTTATAGGTTTTCAATTATTTTCATAAATAATAAAACTCATAGCAGAATTTCAATTATTTTTAATACAATTTTAATGGAATTTCTCGAAAAATGTAATTATTCTTGAAAATTTCATTAAAATTCATTAATGAAATTCAATCATTTTAAAAAGCCTTTCTATAATTTATTTATTAGAATTTAAGTATTATTGCCAATACATTTTTAATTAAATTTCTTAAAAGAATTAAATTATTTTCAAAAATTTTAATGAAATTCTTTTTGACAATTCAATTTTTTTCAAAATAATTTTAATAAAATTCTTCGTAGAAATTAAATTAATTTCAATAATATATCAAAATTCAACTATTTTAAATATCTACTATTTCAATAAAATTTCACAAAAGAATTCAATTATTTAAAGAGAAATATATTATTAAAATTCGGCTCAAGATTATTCAATTATTTTCAAAAGTAATAAAATTCTTCGCAAAAATTCAATAAATTATAGTCAAAAGTTTAAAAAAATTCTCGTGAGCATTTCAATTATCTTTATAAATAATAAAATTCTTCTTCAAAAAATTTAATAATATTTCAAAAACTGTTTTCAATTCAATCAAATTTTTTACTGAGATTCAATTATTTTTAATACAATTTTAATCTAATTTCTCGAAAAATGAAATTATTATTCTAAAAAATTTTATTAAAATTCCAATTTTAATTATTTAAAAATTTATTGATAAAATTTTTTATGAGAGTTCAATTATTTTAAGAAACATTCAATTATTCGATAAATTTTTTAGTTGTACTTAAATAATGGAATTCTCGTAGAATTTCCTTATAAAAATTGATTTAAATATGAATTTCAGTTAAAATTTTACATAATAATTGAATATTAAACTCTCTAAATTTGAATAAGTAAAAATTGTTTGTAATTTGAATTAGTGACTGACTTTTTGCTTTTGAATTAGCATACTTATTACTAATAAATATTCGTTTTTACTAATTTAATAGTAAAATTTACTAATTCAAAATAAAAAATTCAGTCACCAATTCCAATTAGTAAACAATTTTATTAATTCTAATTAAAAGAGAGTATTATAGCGTGAATTTTCAGAAATAATTGAATTTTGAAAAGGTTTCAAATCATAGTTTTTGAAAGTTTGAATTTTTTAAACTGAAAATTGTGTAGATTTAATTTTTTTAAAAAAGTTTAATGGAACTTTTTTGAAATTATTTCAAGTTTTTATTTTCTAATATACTTATATTTAATTGAAGAAATTGCTTAAAATTGAATTGTAAACAAAAAAACTTGAAAATTTTCAAAGAAATTTTTCAAAAATTATTAAGAAGAATTAATTTAAAGAAGAATTTTAGTTAAAAAATTTTGGACAACAATACTGAATGAAAATGATGAAAGTAATTTTGAATAAGTTGCAGTAACAATATTCTTATAATTTAAAATAATGATTTTATCAGTCGGTCATTTTTAATTATTTATAAAATATGAAGATATCGATTGCTCCGAGTCGAAGACTCAGAGTGATCGATTTCTTTATGTTTTATAACAATTTTTTTTTAAATTGTTTAATTTTAAAAAGCTTTGAATTTGAAATTTTTGAAAATCTTAATTCTTATGGAAAAATAATAGTCATTAAATATTATATATTTATTTAAAAAAGAAGAAGAAAAATATTCATTTTTCTGAGTAATAATTTTGAAACTGAATCATAATATTCTTCAGAGGGAAGGAAAAGTAAGAATTTTGTCTGAAATTCAAGGGAATCTCAGGGAAAAACAAAATTAAATTTTTCTAGGCAACAAATGTAGTTTTAAAAACCTGGAAATCCTAGAAAAGACAGGGAATTTGAAATGAGCAAAAGCGTGGCAATCCTGTGATTCAGAGTTTAATTATTTACAATTATTATAACAGAATAAATTTGCTTAGGGTTTGCTATCCGATTAAGAGTTGAGAACACATAACTATTCTGAATTTAACACTGCAGAGACCTGATTGTACATAGTATGTAATTAGATATAATTTTAGAAATGGAATTAAAAATTGAAGTTAACGATATGAATGAATGGTTCTTAAATACAGTAACTAATTTATCTTAAATATTTTAATATTTAGATCACAGTCATGAAATCTATACCTGATTCCGGACAACTTTGGACTGGTTATTATTCCGGAAGAATCGAGATATACTCTTTCATCTTTACTTCTAACGGAAATATAAATTTTAAAGACGTCGTACCTGAGATTTTATTAGCACACAGAAATTCCGTTACAGTTATTTCTCTAAACAGAGCTTTCAACATAGGAATATCAGGCGACGCTGACGGGATTATCGTTACTTGGGATTTGAATAGGCAAGCAAAATTCCAAATTTCAAAGTTTTCTACAGTCTAATATCCTTGTATAATATGTTTTGGGTCAACAAGATGATTAAGTTAATGAGCAAGTTGGATAAATTAGAATTTGTTAAATTGGTGCATATTGTTTGTAGCTTTACATACATCCGATCAATTACATGCAGTGCAGGACACCCCATTTCCTTGATTTCGATAAGCGAAACGCTTGGTGACTTTGCAGTTTCTTATAATATATCCAGAGACACAGAGAAGGACTCCTCAAATAAATCAGTGTTGAAAGTATATACCATTAACGCTCGAAATGTGGGAACTATAAAGTCTCAGGTTAAAATAAGTGCATTGTCTTATAGTAATGCACCTGAAGGTATCTCTGTTAATGTTATAGCTACAGGATTGGAGAATGGGATTATCAGGTAAGAGAAATTTATTTTACAAAATTAATTATAAGTTTGCACAGTAGAACAAAAATTCTAAACAACTATTCGGAAAATGGCACAACTTTATCCTTTTTTCGAAAGTTCAATATAAATATTAGGAAGGAAAAATACAGTTATAAAAATTCTCATCTGTGCACATTTTGCAAATCCTTACCAATCAAAATAATGTCTGATAGTTTTCCATTCGCATTTTCTCTTGGTTTTCTTCGATGTCGAGATGTTCAACAGTTGTAGCGAGGAATATTATTTCTTCTTCCTTAATCGCGTCCAGAATGTCAATACTATTTGTCTTACAATTACAGCAAACTAATTCAAAACATAGTTTACATAGTTTAGTTTTGTAAGCTTAGCTAAAATTTTCAACATTTTTCGTGGGTCACGTTGGATCGCCTATTTTGAATCTTGTGAAACTAACATCGCATCGGATTCGTAGTCAGCGATCCAAAAAACTCCTAGAAACAATCTAATCAAAATGAAAGTGTATGCAATTAATTTGGTAGTGTAATCTTTGTTGTCTTTTTTATTTCGGTGACAAAAAGTGTGTGAAAAATAGAAAACAGTGAAAATAAATAATGTTTACCCCGGGAAGAATTATTTTGTTAAACTACCGTCACTACTGTTATTACATATTTAACTCATATAAGTAGATACTCATATAGGTAAGCACCTGTACACTTTACACATTAATAATCATCATTTTTATTTGTTGATTAATTTGCCGAAAATTATTTGATACATAAACTCTTGGGTTATCTGTTTATTATTTTTAATATTGTTTTTACGAATTTCATTTTCCACCTTAAACTGCATGTCAACCAGATTCAGTCGACACATTCGGATCATTAAATTCGCCAGGGATATCAAGAATATTATGTTTTGTAAGGTACTTAAACATTTTAAACAGTTGGACGTAATTAGCAATAATTAATATTTATACATATTTCTGGCATCACAGTTGGTCCCCTTTTGTTCCCCTTTTTCACCTTTCTTGACGATTTGTCACCTTTTTCCCCTTTTTTCGCTGATTTGTCCCCTTTTTCACCTTTTTCTATAATCAAAAATAAACAAGTTTTTCTTTTTTTCAAATCTTTTTCAAAGTGTAATAAAAAAATGTAGACTCAATGTTATAAAATTCAGTGCGTTTTATACGTTTTATTTTTGATTTAGATTATTTAGATTATTTAGATTACATGTTTTTTTATGTTAATGATTTAAGTAATATAGATATTGTAAAGAATTTTATAAATTATAAGGTGGTTCATTCAACAGAATGGAGACCTCTAGAAAAATAATTAATAAACATTCAAATAATTCAAATATTATTATTAATAGTTTTTTTCTAAAAAAATCAAAAATTCTAATACAAAACCTTCAATTTTTTCCATTTCTGACAATAACTTTGTTTTAAATAACTTAATTCTTGAAGAACTATCATAAAATTATAACTTAGAAATTATTTAATATATAATTTTATTTAAAAACATTTCAAAATTAATTGAATTTTAAAATAGTTGCGTTTACAATTTTCATAAATAGATGAACTTGAAAAGATTTTAATTTTAAATTTTGTAAAATTTCAATTTTGAATGAATTTTATTAGAAGTTCATTTTTATATATATATATTTTTAATTAATTATTAAAAATTATGAATTTATCCAAGAATTTTAGTTAAAAACACTAAAAAAAATCTGAATTTTTCCAAAAGAATTTAATTATTTGAAAAATTTTTTATTAAAATTCTACGCAAACGTTTAATTTAAATGTTTGTTGATCAAATTCTTTATGAGAATTCAATATTAAGAAACATTCAATTATTCAATGTAAATTATTTATTTTTTTATTTAAATAAAAATTTCAATTTTGGATGAATTTAATTAGAAATTTTAAAGAAAAGATTTATGAAAAATTTTAATAAATCAAATTCTTCATGAATTAGTCACATTTTTTAATACAAACTTAATTAATTATTAAAAATAATGGATTTATAGAAGAATTTTAGTTAAAAACACTAAAGAAAAAATTGAATTTTGGAGAAGTTACAAATGATTGCAGAAATTCAAATATTTTCAAAACTAATATAATTCTTCGCAAAAATTCAATTAAGTTCAAAAATTAAGAAAATTCTGATCGACTATTTGAATAAAATTTGACAAACGAATTCAATTATTTAAAAAAAATTATACTTAAACATTCAATTATTTACATAAATAATAAAAATTTCACAAGAATTCAATTATTTACCAATTTTTTATAAATTTCTTCCCAACAATTCAATTATTTTCATAAATAAAATATTCATACTCTTAACTAATAATTCTGTGGAATTAACTTTTGTAAAACAGTTTAATTCTAATTTTTTTAAAAGAATTTGTTGAATTTTTAATTATTAAAAAAAATTTGTTTAGAAAAGAATTTTATATACAAATCAAAAAAAAAAAATAATTGGATTTTGGTGAAGTTATAAAATTACAGAAATTCAATTATTTTCAAAAGTACACTACCGTCCGTGAGTATCAGGACGCCCCTTTTTTCATGAGTGGAAAAATGCTTAAAACGTAGAAAATAAGATTGACAAAAATTTTTCGTATTTTTTTCCTGAAAGCTAATGAAATTATGAAAAGACTGACACCTGATCGAAGAATTTTCGTTGACTATTCTGTCAGCTACAGAAAAAATACTGGATTTTGCATGCTTTTCGTAATTTTTTAATTTCTCGAAAACTAATTAACTTTTATTAGCGCTCTTGGTCTGGTTTTAATCTCTATTTAATTTAGAATCTAAGTTATTAACTGGTATTGTGAAATAAATTTTTCCAAAAAAATTTGAAACCGTAAAAGTATCACTGAAAAAAAAATTTATTTGAATCAAATAAAAATTATTTGATTCAAATAAATCATTTATTTGGTTATAATCCAATAAATGTGTATTTGAACCAAATACATATTTATTTGACCTAAATATTTTATTTTATCGCATCAAATAACTATTTATTTGAATCAAATACAACTTATTCAAATCAAATAAATGGAATATTTCAAACTAATAAACAATTATTTGAATCAATTATATAAATTATTCAACTCAAATAAATATTTACTAAACCTAAGTATTTTGTTTTATTGTATCAAATAAATAGTTATTTGTATCAAATACAAATTATTGAAATCAAATAAATGTAATATTTCAAGCTAGTAAATAATTATTTGAATCAATTATAAAAATTATTTCATTCTATATTTAATAAAAAAAAATTTTTTTAAGTATTTAGTTTTTTTTTTAATTTATTAATTTATTATTATATTATATTTATATATTATATTTATTAACTGATATTTTAACAGACTTTTAATATTATTTACAAACAAGTTCACACAGTTTTTATTCACAACACAACACACAATTTTATTATTTTATATAACGCTTAAAACGAAGAATGAAAAATATTCGCTCGCATGTGGGATCGAACTCACGTCCCCCGCCCCTAACGCACCTATTTAAACCGCACGGCCACTGAGACTTGGTGAGAACTCGGGCTAATCTACTATATCAATGCCAGTGCCGTATATTCTGTATCCAAATAACACATTTATTTGTCGAAAATTTTTTTATTTGTATTAAATAAATGAAATATTTAAGTGAAATAAATAAATGAACAGTTTCAAGTAATTCATTATTTTCGTTTCAAATAATTATTTAATTGATTGAAATATTTTTTTATTTGTCTTGATAAAATAGTGTATTAGCTTTGAATAACGAATTATTTGGATTAAATAATTAAGTTTATTAGAATCAATAAAATAAATTTATTGTGTCAAATAATTTTTATTTGCATCAAATATACGAAGTATTTGAGTGAAATAAATAAAAGAATAGTTTCAACTAACTCATTATTTGTATTAAACAAATTCATTTATTTAATTCAATTTATTATTTAATTGAATCAAATACGATTTATTTGGTTCAAATAAGTGTGATTCAAATAATTCAAGTTATTTGAATCAAATACATATTTTTTTGATCCAACTAAAAAGTATTTGAATCAATTAAATATTTTTCAAATAATTTGAATTATTTGAATCAAATAAATTTTTTTTTCAGTGTATGATTAAAAAAATTCAAAAAATTATCATGAATATTAAAGTGTCAAAAAGGTTAATGTAAAATATGTTCATTTAATAGATATACTAAAATTCAAAAAAACTTTTTAATTACTTAATTATTTAATTAAAAAAAATTTTTTTTTGTTAAAAAAGTGTCAATCTGTTTTTCAAAATTTTTTTATCCGACTTTCACAGTTTCAAATTTTTTTGGAAAAATTTATATCACAATACCATTAATTAATTTAGATTCTACATTGAATAGAGATTAAAACAAGACCAAGAACGCTAAAAAAGTTAATTAGTTTTCGAGAAATTAAAAAATTACGAAAAGCATGCAAAATCCAGTATTTTTTCTGTATCTGACAAAACAGTCAATGAAAATTCTTTGATCAGGTGTCAGTCTTTTCATAATTTCATTAGCTTTCAGGAAAAAAATACGAAAAATTTTTGTCAAATCTTATTTTCTACGTTTTAAGCATTTTCCCACTTATGGAAAAAGGGGCGTCCTGATACTCACGGACGGTAGTGTAAATAAAATTCTTCGCAGAATATCAATTTATTATTTTTAAAAATTTTGAAAACATTCTTTGAAAGAATTCAATTATTGTCATAAATAACAAAATATTTTCAAAAATTCAATTATTTTTAAATATTTTTAATGAAATCGGTTACGGGAATTAAATTATTTTTATAAATAACAAAATTCTTTGCAGGAATTCAATTATTTTTAAAAAATTTCAATAAAATTCTTTGAAAAAATTCAATTATTTTCATAAATAAATAAATAATATTATAAATTTAATTGAATGCCGTATATTAAGTACTTATGTACGATAGGGCACTGCCCGTAAATTTGTAAAAATAAATAAATAAATAGAATTCTTTTCAGGAATTCAATTATTTAAAAAAATTTAAATAATATTCTTCTAAAAAATTCAATTACTTTGATAAATAACATAATTCTTTGGAGGAATTCAATTATTTAAAAAAAATGTTAATAGTTTTCTTCCCAATAATTCAAGTATTTTCATAAATAATAAAATTTTTTACAAGGATTCTATTATTTTCATAAAAAATAAAACTCATCCCAGAATTTTAATTATTTTTAATACAATTTTAATCAAATTCCTCGAAAAATGTAATTATTCTTAAATTTTTTATTAAAATTCGTCAAAAGAATTCAATTATTTAAAAATTTGTTGATAAAATTCTTTATGAAAATTCAGTTTTGAGAAACGTTCAATTATTCAATAGATTATTTACTTTTGTATTTAAATATTTGAATTCTCGTAGAATTTTCTAGTAAAAATAGTAAATTTTTTTACTATTTTTACTAAAAATGGATTTTAGTTAAGATTTTAGATAATAAAATTGAATTTTAAAAGCATTATAGCGTGGATTTTTAGAAATAATTAAATTTTGAAAAGGTTTCAAATTAAAATCTTTGAGAACTTGAATTTTTAATTCCTTTAACTATAACATTTCTGTAGAATTATTTTTTTCGAAAAAGTTTAATTTAAATTCTTTTAAAATTTTAGTTGAAGTTTTAAATATATATTTAATTATTTAACTATGGAAAACAATTTATTTGAATATTAAATATTTAATATTTAATTGAATATTAAAAGTAAATTTTTAGAATTAATTGAATTTTGAAAAAATTTCAAATTGAAATCTTTGATAATCTGAATTTTTCATATTTTTAACTAACAATTCTGTAGAATTATTTTTTTTCAAAAAGTTTTTATTGAAATTATTCGAAGCTTTTATTTTAAAATATATAATAATTGAAGAATTTCCGAATAATCGATGAAATTTCGTAAAATTGAGTTGTAAACAAATACATTTGAAAATTTTCAGAATTTTTTTAAAAATTATTGTAAATAATTGATTTAAAGAAAAATTTTAGTTATAAATTCTAGAAAATAATAATTGAATTGAAATAAAAATAATTTTGAAGATATTAGAGTAAAAATATTTTTTATAGTCCGAGTCGAAGACTCGGAATGATCACTTTCTTTATGTTTTATAATAATATTCTTATGAGTTGTTCAATTTGAAAAGGTTTGAATTTGAAATTTTTGAAATCTTAATTCCAATGAAAAATGAAAAAAATGATAAAATATTTTTTTTAAAAAGAAGTTATTGCTGTTTTCGAATAATTTGACAGTTGAAGAAATTCGTAAATAAATGTAATAGAACATTTTTTTGTGGTACTGTGATGCCTGATATTTTCTTAGTTACTTCATATTTTTCAAATGTAACAGATTGTTATTCGTTGTTAGCCTTTAATTATTAAAAGTAAAAAAAATTAGCTACTTGATAAGGGAAAAACTAACGACACACTTGCGTATTGTAATTTAATTTAAATTGATTATGATTATTGAATATGATTTATTTATTTATGCTTTTCCTAATTTTTGATGTTTAGATTCTGGAGCAGTTGGGACTTGAAACTGGTCCGAGAAATAATTAATGATTCAAAATATTGTGGAGCAATTGTGGCAATCGTGTGGGCTTTGGAACAACAACATTTATATGCCGTCACAGATAATTCGACAATATTAATTTGGGAAGGAACAAGAAAGATAAACAGTGGAACGTCGAAATTTGTAAATTTTAAGTCATTATAAATTAAGGAAAGCGTTTTGTAAATAATAATTTATCATTTAAGAGTTTTGCAGAATTATAGCCAGTGAACAATTAATTATTATCTGAAATAGTAGGGCAGGACAGGGCAAAGTGGCGAAATGCAAAGCGAAATGCACTGTTTTCAGAAACGATAACATTTCATTAAAGTTAACCGTTATATGTAGTTTTATAACAATTATTAAGACTTTATTAACTCAGGCGCTTCAGAATAAGTATTGTCTTTTCGACCATTGAGCATTTAGTTTTTTGTGCTCGCAAAAAATTAAATTTTTCTGCATATTTTTTATTTCTTTCAATTAAAGGTAAGTTCCTCGTTTAAATAATGTACAGTATTTTTGTGAACAATAAATATGTTTCAACTTTTTAGTCTAAGAATAAAGATGTAATATTTTCAACTAAGAAATATATCTCTGTTAAAATTTTTAGAAACTGATAATTCAAAAACTTTTTATACTTTTTTCAAAAAATCGACTATTTAATAAGTTATAAAAATCGTTAGCTTTTTATAATTTTTACTAAGTAGCTCTAACGTGACAGTAAAATATCTGGGTGATTCTCCGCGTAGTGCACAATTCAATGTCCCTCGTATTTTTTAAGAAATTAGTTGCACATATTGCAAATGAATTCAAGCAGAAAAACTAATTTCTGTGTTTACAAACAAAAGCCAATAGTCGTTTACATTTAAAAATTTATAATTTAGCTTTAACCCCTTGGCTGTCAACGAGATTTCCACTGTTTGGGCCAAAAGTGTGTTGAAAAAATTTTTAATGGATTTTTATGAAACTTGGTACCCTAAGGTTTCTGGGGTCGCTGATTACGAATCTAACATTAGTTTTCCAAAATTCAAAATGGCGGATCCAATATGGCGGACAACGAAATAAAAAATTGATCAGATTGGCTTGAAACTGAATACTTGGGGATTTTCAGGGTCGCTGATTACGAATCTGAAATCAGTTTTTCAAAATTCAAAATATCTGGTTCAATATGGCGGAAAATTTTTTTAAATCTATTGAATTTGTTTGAAACTGGTTAATCTGACATCAGTTTGATAATTTTTAGTGAAATCAAACTTCGATAAATATTCTGAAAAAATAATGACAGATTCGTAATCAGCGACCCTTAAAACCCCCGAGTAACAAATTTCAAGCAAATTCGACGAATTTTGAAAAAATCTCCGCCATCTTGGATTCGACATTTTGAATTTCGAAAAACTGATGTCAGATTCGTAATCAGCGACCCCAAAAACCCCCGAGTACTACGTTTCAAGTCAATCTGATCAATTTTTTTATTTTGTTGTCCGCCATATTGGATCCGCCATTTTGAATTTTGGAAAACGAATGTCATATTCGTAATCAGCGACCTCGAAAACCCCCAAGTAACCGGTTTCAGGAACATTTAAGAAGTTTTTAATCACCTTTTTTAAGTTGCGCATATATGCGTCATGAACCACTTTTGGCCAGTTTTGTTTTGCGTATATATGCGTCAGCGACAGTCAACGGGTTAAAAGCTGTTTTAAGGTGCCAAAACGTCATGGTAAGGCCTGTCCCCAGTACGATGTATATAAAAAAAAATTGTTATTTTTAATAAAATACAGTAATTAATCATAGTTTCGGTTTTTTTTTGTTCGTAGAATTGTGAAAAACAAAGAACTTGCGAAAAAAATTTATTTAGAAAAATTTTTTTTTATGTTAATTCTTGTCCCTCGTTTTTGCGTCATGGTCTGGCCTTTTTATAAAATTGTATTATTTACACAAAAATCAAATCGAAACTTTACTCAATATTAGTAAAACGCAACGACAAACTCTCCTAAGTAAATTAATAAGAGAGAAACTAACTTGAGAATTAATTGTTTTGTTTTTTACACATTAAAAGCACTAAACTTGCATAGGGAATCACAGAATCGTCATGGTCTGGCCTTCACATACTTCCCAATAAAATTAATAATTATTTATATTTTACGTCAATTAGAGTGTAGTAGTATTAGATCAGTGAATATAAATGACGTAAATATGAAACAGAATGAAAATCGCTAATAAATTGTTTAAAAAATCATTTTTTCTTGAGCGTCATGGTCTGGACTTCTTGTCATGGTTCGGCTTTTCTGTATTGAACAGCGTGTAACAACAGAGTGAAGCAATAATTGTTAAACAGTTGCAATTTGAAAAATAACATACAGATAATTATTATTTCATTTGCCTGTAAATATAACAGGTGCTTTCATTTTACCATGGCTGGATATAGCCGCAAAGTATATACAGATATATAAAAATTATTTGTTTAAAAAATAGAAAAATTATAAATATTTTGTCCGACCCACCACTGATATTTCATTCATAAACACTAAATTTGAAGATTCTATATCGACTTTTACTCAATTTGAAAAAAAATAGTAATAGTAATAACTAAATCGTGCGCTACGTGGAGAATCACCCATCTGTAGTTTTTTGAGTCTGTCATTGGAAATCCTACGTAATAATTGAAATTTATACAGCAATTAATCTTTACTTCGAAATTATTACAAATGATGCCTCGTGCATAGAGATTTTTTACAATAATGTTATTAGCAATAAACTTTATTTATTGATTTTTTAAATATTATTTATATATATATATATATATATATATATATATATATATATATATATATATATATATATATATATATATATAATTTATAGCTTTTTCATAATTAGACTTAAGTTTGTTAAAGATTTTAGAAAGTATTATAGTAGAATTTTATTTTTTAATCAGGCTTTCACAATTTTTTATTTTTCAATGTATTTGTACTGTTTATGGAAATATTTACACAGTACAAAATATATTAAATTACTTTGTATTTGGAATCTAATGATTTTTATTGTTGCTTTTTATTTTTCAGGATTTTCGGTTATTCCAACAATACCTACATAATAAAATTTTATAAAAACCCTTGTTTCATTTTTGTTTGACTTTATAATGAATATTAAAAACTTGAATTTTAAATAATTATAATTTTATGTGTTCACCCAAAAAAATTTATATACATAGTTAACCTTAACCTAGCAAAATTAGTAAGGATTCCTAATTATATCAATTATGATCTCTGGGTTAATTAAACAAGTCCAAGCTTTGTAAAAACAACTCTGTAAATCCTAATCAAATTAACTTTAAAAAATTTGGTCATTAATTTTACAAATTTCCTTAACTGCGCATGCGTCTGATTCTGTTTTGACAGTGTTTACCGGTTTCCATCTACATCTTTCGCGGGATCGCGGGATCTATCCTCTATCGTGGTTTCGTAAAACCGCGTAAAACGCAGTAAAACGATTGTTTATTATTATTCGAGTCTATACATTTGGTTAATAAAATGGCTTTTCTGTGTATTTAAAGTTTGCTGCTTTCTTGGAACCTTTCGAAACAGATAGTCCAGGTTTTAAAAACTACGCTATATTTAATTTAATACTTTCATACTTTTTAGGTTAAGTTTCAATATAAGCCGTCTAAATTTTTACGCGCGTGGTGATAAAGTTTTCTAGTACTTTAATCGCTTTAATCACTGTATTTGAACGTTTATCATATTGAAATAATATGTGAATTTCCATACATTTTCATTTAAATTTTTATTTAAACAATTAATTTTAATTCCGTTTAACGGAAGTTGGTCTTTCTATTTTTAATTCTCGTACGAATATTGTAATTATTTTATGATAAACTAGTTCAGCTTCACGATTATTCATGGCCCGGTAAGATAAGCGACGAATAGAAAACGATTAAATTTACGGGCTGTGTCTATTTGGCCCGTGTCACCCTACTTCCATGCATTTCAAGACGGGCCAAATAAAGAAAGTAGTTTATTTGTTCCGTCAGATAACAAATTGCCTGTAATTAATGACGATAATGAATGCTAAAGTATTATTAATCTTACAAATAGATTATTTAACAACCAGGTATTAATTACTGTTATTCAAGTGAATATTTGACAGGTAATGTATGTTAAAAATTGAATCATACATTTCATTTTTAAAATTTGCACTTTGACCCGTTACTCACTATATAAGTACTATTAGGTATTTATGTCAATATATAAATCCTTAATTAATTTAATATTTTATTAATAATTTGTTAAAATATTTTTCAGTAAATTGAAGGGCTACATAAAATAAGGGGACGAACGCGTGGTTGAAAGGAATAATATCAGTCAGGTAGCAGCGAGCGGCTCAAGGCTTGTCACTGCTACCCGACTGGTAGTATCCCTTCCAAGCCTCGCGTTCGTCCCCTTATATTTTATGTAGCCCTTCAATTTATCAGTTTCTTAATATTGATAAATTATATTTAATAATTGAATAAGTATTCAATATTGTATGTATATAATATTTATTTTTAATTTTAATAAATTTTTCATTTAAGGTCCTTAAAATGTGATGCAATTAGTACCGGGTTAAAAAATATTTTTTGCAATTGTTTAAACAAATTTAAAAAAAATTTCACTTAAAAATTTGTTACTGAAAATATACTTTTTTTATGACGAAAATGATTATAGGTACTTTCACTTAAAATCAGTAATTTGAATAAAAAACTTTAAACGCATTTTGCTCGAAAAGTTGAGTTTGCATATACACTACCGTCGGGAATTATCGGTACGGCTACACACGCACGGCCCAAAAACATACCAATCTTTAAATCACGATTTTTTTGTAAATACAAATGTCAGAAAATTAACAAATATACCATTCGAAAGATTATTAAATACTACGATTAATGGCACATAACTGAAAATTTTAATAATTTATACAAAGATTGCAGCAATCGACAAATTTGACAAAAAAATTTTAAAAATACAATTTTTTTGGAAACTTTTTCAACCCCTGCACATTTTTTAAAAATTGCAGAAAAAATTTGAAACTTATATAGGTGTAATCATTCAAGTCTCATCTTTAATTTAAGACCAAAAGAGTTTAAAAATCTTATTCGGTTCTTGAGATATCATTATATACGTCCGAGCATGTTTTTTGACAAATGCATTGAATTAGTCGATTTTGAACGGTTTTTGGCTGAAAATGCTCTTCCGTTTATCATTATAAACGGAAGAGCATTTTCAGCAAGATATCATTATATCTTGCTAACCGTTTAAGATTTTTTAACTTTTTTGGTCTTAAATTAAAGATGAGACTTGAATGATTACACCTATATAAGTTTCAAATTTTTTCTACAATTTTTAAAAAATGTGCAGGGGTTCAAAAAATTTCCGAAAAAATTTTATTTTTTAATTTTTTTTGTCAAATTTGCCGATTGCTGCTAATTTTGTATACATTATTAAAATTTTCAGTTATGTATCATTAATCGCAGAATTTAATAATCTTTCGAATGGTATATTTGTTAATTTTTTGACATTTGTATTTACAAAAAAATCGTGATTTAAAGATTGGTATGTTTTTGGGCCGTGCGCGTGCAGCCGTACCGATAAT